CAGAAAGGATAGTTAAGCATATTTTTAAAACATGAGTCTAGTTTGTATCTTGTTGTATAATAGTTATACTTCGATATATAACTTTTTTGTGCTAGCACCTCTTTACACTTTAGCTGTGGTCACGACAACACGCACGCACGCACACTCACCCATCCAAACACACATCCACATACAATTACTTTTATCACAACAACTAGGTGAGTACACACACACACACACACACACACTCCCAAGGGGGCCTGGTAGCCTGGTTGATAGCGCGCAGAACTCGTAATTCTGTGGTGCGGGTTCGATTCCCGCACCAGGCAGAAACAAATGGGCAAAGTTTCTTTCAGCCTGAATGCCCCTGTTACCTAGCAGTAAATAGGTACCTGGGAGTTAGTCAGCTGTCACGGGCAGCTTCCTGGGGTCTGTGGTGTGGGAAAAAAGTAGTTGATTAACAGTTGAGAGGCGGGCGGAAAGAGCAAAGCTCAACCCCGGCAAACACAACTAGGTGAGTACAAGGACACTGGTATCTAAGCTTGAGGCGCAGTACCTGAAGAGGAGATATCACAGTGGGCTGCGCCGGCTTGTGTGTGTCTGCCATTGAAGGCTTTGCAAGACCACCAACTTCATGTTATGTCTCCGTGCTGTGTGGCTGGTTGATGGAGCTGTTGCTGCCTCCTGAACCTGCTGCTGTTGGGGGAGCCGGTCGGCCGAGCGGACAGCACACTGGACTTGTGATCCTGTGGTCCCGGGTTCGATCCCGGGCGCCGGTGAGAAACAATGGGCAGAGTTTTTTTCACCCTATGCCCCTGTTACCTAGCAGTAAAATAGGTACCTGGGTGTTAGTCAGCTGCCACGGGCTGCTTCCTGGGGGTGGAGGCCTGGTCGAGGACTGGGCCGCGGGGACACTAAAGCCCCGAAATCATCTCAAGATAAGAAGAAGCCTCACTGGTGTAGCTGATGATGCTGTGGCAGGCAGAGGAGGAGGGAGAGAGTAGCTGCAGGTGTTTCTATCCTCTATTACAAGTCCCTCAAGAAGCTCGCAGATCAATACAGTACACAAACAATAATCACATTTTACATTACAGATTCATTTATATGTATATGAGGAAAGATTTTCTGGAACTAAACCTCACGACACTAGAAGACTGAAGAGTAAAGGGAAGACATGATCACTACCCATAAAATTCTCAGAGGAATTGACAGGGTAGATAAAGATAAATTGTTTAACACGGGTGGTACGCAACCAAGGGGACACAGGTGGAAACTGAGTACCCAAATGAGCCACAGGGACGTTAGAAAGAACGTTTTCAGTGTCAGAGTAGTTAACAGGTGGAATGCATTAGGCAGTGATGTGGTGGAGGCTGACTCCATACACATTCTCAAATGTAGATATGATAGAGCCCAGTAGGCTCAGGAATCTGTACACCAGTTGATTGACGGTTGAGAGGTAGGCCGAAAGAGTCAAGAGCTTAACTCCCGCAAGCACAACTAGGTGAGTACCACTAGGTGAGTACCAGTGGTTGGCAGCAAACAACCTAAGCCACAGACCCGCCCCCCCCCCCCTTCCCCAATCAAAATCCCATATACCAAAAGTCACAGGACCCTCCCTGAACAAATCATCGCCTAATAGGAATATATTCTGCAACATCAACTCCAAAAATTCACAACAAAACAGCTGTTGTAAAAAAAAAAAAAAAAACATTTGTTTTAGAAAACAAGGGGGCAGTATATCAGGGTTAGGGGTAGAGTGACTATCACTGGGGGGGGGGGACGAGGCTGGACGCGTGACCCTAACAGGTCAGGTCACTTGGGGTCAGGTCATGATGGGGGGTATGTAGGGGGGGGGGGTTTGAGAGCATTGTATAAACAGCTTTTTTTGGTTGTATTTGTAAAGGAAAATAACCCTTATCGCGTTTACTTGTTACTGGTGTGTACTTGTCTCTACACCCATGTGTACGTGTCTTGTACACACCGCGTGTGTACCTGTCGTGTCTACATGGCTTCCATAGTGTGTGTGTATCATGTCTACACACGCATGCAGGGTGAGAACAAAATATCTTTTGCGTCAAGAGTTTTCAACCTCCTTTGGTTTGCTCTACAAGACGGTATTTCCTATTTTGTAGTGAATTAAGGGAGATGTGTAAGATAAGGGAGATTAAGGGAGTCAGAGGGAGATGTGTTGCAGCATTGTTTGGGTTGAGTGTCCTGGAGTGGGTGGGGGGGGGGGGGAAACGGGTGGTGGGGGGGGGGGTGATAACAGCTTATGAAGACATAAGAGCCAGATTCCCATAGAGGTCCATTGAGGCTATTGCTTTGCCGACCCCTTTGGACGGGTGTCTTAATGTTTGGCTTTCGACCTGGGGGAGAAAATGTGTCACGAGGACACACATGCGGATTACATGTATCGTGCCGGGAACTGGGGAAGGGGGGGGGGATACAGCCCTGTCCTGTGTCCACGTGTGTCCTCTCGTTCGAAACAGGTGGTTTCTGTCTTCTTCGGTTGTTCGTTTTAAAATTCGAACGCGTGTTGTGGCATATTTTAGACCGACGTGCAACTGGTGTTGGTGGGTCGGGATGCCTCCAACACCGACCACACCACGAACTTGGGTGTCCGCTTACGAAACCTGTATATCTTTCCCTCAATCACAGCGGCTTAATCTACTTCGATTAGATGTTTATGAGCTCCGAAGCACCACAAGGTTGTTTACAGCAATAACAACCTAGAGTTGTAAGCTTTCCAAGCTCGCTTAATAAATGCGGATTAAGCTGAGGAAAGATATACAGGTTTCGTAAGTGGTCCCAGAGAACGAGCTGCGAGAGAGAGAGAGAGAGAGAGAGAGAGAGAGAGAGAGAGAGAGAGAGAGAGAGAGAGAGAGGAAGAGTGTGTGTGTGACCTGAAACAGCTTACTGGGGTGTGTGCCGAAGGATCGGCTTACAAGATAGGTCACCATGCCCCGAAGGTGACACCTAGACGTCCACCCTACGCCAAACAGGAGCGAGAGCTGTGTAAGTTTCCCACGACAAGACGCTGGTGTGTTTTTATAACGCGTCGCGTATGTGGCTTGCGTCGTGCGCTGCTGCAACCTGTCCTCTTGCAAAGAACGTCGCATTTCAGTCGTATGCGTTACACAGGGGCTAAAAGTTGGTCGTACTAGGAAATGGAAACGGCTGGCCAAAGTTACACTGTCCCGTTTTCTTTTTTGGGTCCTCTGGTAGGTTAGGAGAGGACACCTTACGTTGGTCGTTTTCTTGACGTTGGGAAACTTGGAAAACCTTGGGAGACGTTGGGAAACCTTGGGAGACGTTGGGAAACCTTGGGAGACGTTGGAAAACCTGGGAAACCTTGGGAAACCTTGGCAGACGTTGGGAAACCTTGGGAGACGTTGGGAAACCTTGGGAGACGTTGGGAAACCTTGGGAGACGTTGGGAAACCTTGGGAGACGTTGGGAAACCTTGGGAGACGTTGGAAAACCTGGGAAACCTTGGGAAACCTTGGCAGACGTTGGGAAACCTTGGGAGACGTTGGGAAACCTGGGAAACCTTGGGAAACCTTGGGAGACGTTGAGAAACCTTGGGAGACGTTGGGAAACCTTGGGAGACGTTGGGAAACCTTGGGAGACGTTGGGAAACCTTGGGAGACGTTGGAAAACCTGGGAAACCTTGGGAGACGTTGGGAAACCTTGGGAGACGTTGGGAAACCTGGGAAACCTTGGGAAACCTTGGGAGACGTTGGGAAACCTTGGGAGACGTTGGGAAACCTTGGGAGACGTTGGGAAACCTTGGGAGACGTTGGGAAACCTTGGGAGACGTTGGGAAACCTTGGGAGACGTTGGGAAACCTGGGAAACCTTGGGAAACCTTGGGAGACGTTGGGAAATCTTGGGAGACGTTGGGAAACCTTGGGAGACGTTGGGAAACCTTGGGAGACGTTGGGAAACCTTGGGAGACGTTGGGAAACCTTGGGAGACGTTGGGAAACCTTGGGAGACGTTCGGAAACCTTGGGAGACGTTGGGAAACCTTAGGAGGCCGGGCTGTCGTGCCAGGGACACGTCGTATGTGGGTAACGTTCTTTGGACGTTGCAGTTTGGCAATGTTCTGCAACATTTTCTATGTATCGTGCCTAATATACATGGATATTTACAACAAAAAAAACTAATTATCTACGAAATATGAATCTGAAAGTTTCAATTATAAACACTACTGTGTGGTGCAGTGGAACAAAAAATCTGCTAATTTTAAATGTTCTTAAAAAAAAAAACATTATTAGGATTAGTTTTTGTTCATTTTGCTCTGATTTGGTTGCCGATTCAGCTCGTAATCTTGCAGTTATCATCTAATTAGAAATCGGAAACGTAAGATAATTATTGGAAGATGCTAAGGTCTGTATGATTATATAGCACGTGGAAAGGATATGAGACAAACTAAGAATTGAGATACGAGGAAGGAGCGGAGAAAACACTTGGGCCCCATCGGGAATCGAACCCCGACTCTGTAAAGAGCCACTATGACAATATAGCATCATATGCTACATGCTATGTTGAAACGCTGCCCAACTGCTTGAGTCGCCGGAGCTTGAACGCTGACCCCCCCCCCCCCTAAAAAAAAGACGTGATAGAAAATCTGAAAGAATTAATAGACTATTTTACCCCCTTGACCCCGCCGCTATATAGACCAGGCTGATATAAAGACCAGGCCGCCTTAGACCCTTAGACAAAACAGCATTCAAGGTACATATTCAAATCTCAGGTTGGTGTGTCTCAGCGCTTACAGCCGTCAATCAACCCAGGCCGTCGAGCCCGCTTCAAGAATAGGCTTAGGAAGGCTCCCCCCCCCCCTCTCTCTCTCTTCTTTTGTGAGGGGGGGGGAGGAGGAGGAGGGGAATTAGCGAAATGGTAGACCGGTGTTCTTAAAAGATGAATATTCCCCCCCCCCCACTCAAAAAAATGGCTGCTGCCCCATAGATTCTGACGGAGGCCGCCCGGAGGGAAGTTAATGGGATTAGTGTGTCAATACTAATGCCATTCGGAAGGTTCTGTTGCTGGGTGGAAGGTTCTGTTGCTGGGCGGAAGGTTCTGTTGCTGGGGGGAAGGTTCTGTTGCTGAGTGGAAGGCTCTGTTGCTGGGTGAAAGGTTCTGTTGCTGGCTGGAAGATTTTGTTGCTGGGTGGAAGGTTCTGTTGCTGGGTGGAAGGTACTGTTGCTGGGTGGAAGGTTCTGTTGCTGGGCGGAAGGCTCTGTTGCTGGGTGGAAGGTTCTGTTGCTGGGTGGAAGGCTCTGTTGCTGGGTGGAAGGTTCTGTTGCTGGGTGGAAGGTACTGTTGCTGGGTGAAAGGTTTTGTTGCTGGGTGGAAGGTTCTGTTGCTGGGTGGAAGGTACTGTTGCTGGGTGGAAGGTTCTGTTGCTGGGCGGAAGGTTCTGTTGCTGGGCGGAAGGTTCTGTTGCTGGGCGGAAGGTTCTGTTGCTGGGCGGAAGGTTCTGTTGCTGGGCGGAAGGTTCTGTTGCTGGGTGGAAGGCTCTGTTGCTGGGCGGAAGGCTCTGTTGCTGGGTGGAAGGTTCTGTTGCTGGGTGGAAGGTTCTGTTGCTGGGCGGAAGGCTCCTTTGCAAAGTTTTAACGTGAGAGGGTAGGGAAGGAACAGAATAAGTTCTCCAAAATAAGTAAGGAACAGAATAAGGGAAGAGCTTCAACTAGGGGAAGGGGGAGGAAAAAGGGTGGTGGTGGAGGTGGTAAAGGGAAGTATACCTCAAGATATACCTCGCAGTATAACCACCGAACGCTCCACTAAATATAAGAAGCCTCTATTGGTTCCACTCTTCACAAAGTTGTCAAATCGCATCACCATAAATTATTCCAGCGGGCATTTTCTTCGTGTCCCTCTTTATGTCTCTCCTCCTCTTGCGTGTTCTTCTATCTTCTTCTTATTCTTGGGAAAGGTAAGTAAAACCATGTTTGCTGACGACGTGATACGCTTTTATAATGAAAACATAAGTATTCACCTATTATGTTCATGTGCGTGCGCACGCGCGTGTGTGGTTTCCAGATGGGATCTGCGCCAGCGCTGGTGAGTCTGTGTGCGCATCGTTGACGGTGTGCGTCATATACGCATCTATGACAGTATTATAGATGTACGCATATATGTGTGTGTGTGTGTGTGTGTGTACTCACCTTGTTGTACTCGCCTAGTTGTGTTTGCGGGGGTTGAGCTCTGGCTCTTTGGTCCCGCCTCTCAACCGTCAATCAACAGGTGTACAGATTCCTGAGCCTATTGGGCTCTATCATATCTATACTTGAAACTGTGTATGGAGTCAGCCTCCACCACATCACCTCCTGTGTGTGTGTGTGTGTGTGTGTGTGTGTGTGTGTGTGTGTGTGTGTGTGTGTGTGTGTGTGTGTGTGTGTGTGTGTGTGTGTGTGTAAGTCTCTTGACGTCAGCGTGTGGGGGCAATTTACGTCATGGGGGGGGGGACAGTTAAGATCACTGGAATGACTTGAGACTATCTTCCCAGTCCCTGGAAGCAGGGGGGTCTACCTTGCTTCTTGGCGAGTGCTGGACAGTGTGACGGTGTGTGCGTGTGTGTACTCACCTAGTTGTGCTTGCGGGGGTTGAGCTCTGGCTCTTTGGTCCCGCCTCTCAACTGTCAATCAACTGGTGTACAGATTCCTGAGCCTACTGGGCTCTATCATATCTACATTTGAAACTGTGTATGGAGTCAGCCTCCACCACATCACTTCCTAATGCATTCCATCTGTTAACTACTCTGACACTGAAAAAGTTCTTTCTAACGTCTCTGTATCTCATTTGGGTACTCAGTTTCCACCTGTGTCTCCTTGTTCGTGTTCTTCCCGTGCTGAAGAGTTTTTCCTTGTCCACCCTGTCAATTCCCCTGAGAATTTTGTAGGTGGTTATCATGTCTCCCCTTACTCTTCTGTCTTCCAGGGACGTGAGTTTCTGCTCCTTTAGCCTTTCCCCGTAGCTCATACCTCTCAGTTCTGGGATGAGTCTGGTTGCATACCGCTGAATAATCTCTAACTTTGTCTTGTGTTTAACTAGGTATGGACTCCAAGCTGGAGCTGTATATTCCAGGATTGGTCTGACATAAGTGGTAAACAGGGTCCTGAACGATTCCTTATGTAAGTTTCTAAAGGCAGTTCTTATGTAGGCTAGTCTAGCGGATGCCGCTGATGATATCCTTTTAATGTGGGCCTCTGAGGTCAGGTTCAGTGTGATATCAACCCCCAGATCCTTCTCTCTATTAGACTCTTGTAGGATTTCACCTCCCAGATGGTACCTTGTCTTCAGCCTTCTGCTCCCTTCACCTAATTTCATTACTTTGCAGTCTCCTCAGTTGAACTTTAGCAGCCATTTTCTAGACCACTCCTCCATCCTGACCAGGCCGTCCTGTAGTATCTGTCTATCATCATCTGTCTTGATTCTTCTCATAATTTTTCCATCATCAGCAAACATTGAGAGGAATGAGTCTATACCTTCTGGAAGATCGTTTACATATATTAGAAACAGGGTGGGTCCAAATACTGAGCCCTGTGGGAATCCGTTGGTGACATCTCGCTCCCTCACAGTTACTCGCTGTTTCCTGTTCCTTAGATACTCCCTTATCCACTGGAGCACCTTACCTTTGACTCCTGCCTGTTGCTCCAACTTTCTTAACAGCCATTTGTGAATTACTCAGTCAAAAACTTTCTGACAGTCCAAGAAAATGCAGTCGGCCCACCCTTCTCTTTCTTGCCTAATTTTTGTTGCTGGGTCATAGAATTCTATTAACCCTGTGAAGCACGATTTACCATCCCTGAACCCATGTTGGTGGTGCGTTACAAAGTTATTTCCCTCCAGACGCTCTACGAGCCTTTTCCTCACAATCTTCTCCATCACCTTGCATGGTATACAAGTTAGGAAAACTGGCCTGTAGTTCAGTGCCTCTTGCCTGTCACCCTTTTTGTATATTAGGACTACATTAGCTGTCTTCCAGCTTTCCGGAAGGTCTCCTGTTTCCAGTGACCTGTTATACACCATAGAGAGTGGCCCGCTTTGTGCTTCTGCAACTTCTTTTAACATCCATGGTGAGATTCTGTCAAACAGCCTTTGTCACATTCAGCTCCAACAGATTCCTTTTGACCACATCACTGGTGAGGTCAAAATCCTCCAAGGTTGCTTGGTTTGCCTCCTCCTCATTTAGTGCAGGGGCTTCTCCTTGTTCTTCTGTGAAGACCTCCTGGAATCTCTTGTTGAGTTCTTCACACACCTCCTTGTCATTCTCTGTGTATCTATTCACCCTTTTTCTCAGTTTCATCACTTATTCCTTCGCCGCTGTTTTCCTCCTGATGTGGCTGTGGAGCAGTTTTGGTTGGGTCTTGGCTTTATTCGCAATGTCATTTTCATACTGTCTCTCTGCTTCTCTCCTCACTCTGAGGTACTCATTCCTGGCCCTCTGGTATCTCTCCCTGCTCTCTGGCGTTCTGTTATTCCTGTAGTTTCTCCATGTTCGTTTACTCACTTGCTTCGCTACTTTGCATTCCTGGTTGAACCATGGATTCTTCTGTTGCTTTTTCGCTTTTCACCTGTGTGTGTGCGCGTGCGTGCGTGCGTGCAGGATGGAGCTGCTAGCTCCTAGTCTCCGCCTTTCTAGCCGTTGGTTGTCTAATGCAATGACTCTCGACTTATGACTCTATCAAACCTGCTCTTGCACTTATAAATGGATTACACCTTTGCTCATTTAGTTCATTTCATTTTCCCACTATTATACTAACAGAAATAGGTGTTAGAGAGAGAGAGAGAGAGAGAGAGAGAGAGAGAGAGAGGAGAGAGAGAGAGAGAGAGAGAGAGAGAGAGAGAGAGAGAGAGAGAGAGAGCTTCCTTGTGTCTCTTCGTTTTGTAGATGAATAAATAGTCGCCATACCATCTCCACAACGTTACAAAACACGTGGCACTTTTACCACCCCAAAAATATATGAATCAATCTACCTTTCGGCTACTGCTTCCGAGAGTTCAGGTGTGGGGTCCTTCCTCGGCACACCTGTGACCCATATCTCACCCCCAGGTGCAACACTTCATATTTTAGTACATACACGTAGCATACATACATAAATACATATATATATACATACATACATACATACATACATACATACATACATACATACATACATACGTGCACCACGAGGGTATTTCTCATCCTGTAACTACACTTAGGTAATTACACACACACATACAGGGATGGGTATCACACGGGTGGGACGCGAACAAGGGGACACAGGTGGAAATTGAGTACCCAATTGAGCCACAGGGACGTTAGAAAGAACTTTTTCAGTGTCAGAGTAGTTAATAGGTCGAATGCATTAGGCAGTGATGTGGTGGAGGCTGACTCCATACACAGTTTCAAATGTAGATATGATAGAGCCCAGTAGGCTCAGGAACCTGTACATCAGTTGATTGACAATTGAGAGGCGGGACCAAAGAGCCAGAGCTTAATCCCAGCAAGCACAACTAAGGGAGTACAACTAGGTGAGTTCAAGTTCAAAATCCTCGCGGCTGAGTGGACAGCGCTCGGGAGTCGTAGTCCTTAGGCCCCAGGATTGATTCCCTGCCGAGGTGGAAATAAATGAGCAGAGTTTCTTTCACCCTGATGGGTCTGTTCACCTAGCAGTAAATAAGGACCTGGGTGTCAGACAGCTGCTACGGACTGCTTCCTGGGGATGTGTGTGTGTGTGTGTGCTTTAGAGACAAATATATGTAGTAGACTTTAGAGAGGAAATATAAAATAGTTAGAAAGGCGGAGACCAAGAGCAAATAGCTCGATTCTGCGGACACAAATAGTAAATAATAAATACACAATAAGACTGGAGTCAGTAATTATACAACCGGCTCCAGTAAGGCGGAGTCCAAAAGCTAATGCTCGATCCCGCAAGCACAAATACATGAGCACACACACACAAGCCTTAGAGGAATGGTTTGAATCCCCCCTTATTCTCTCTCCCTCCCTCCCTCCCTCTCTCTCTCCTTCCCTCCTCCCATTCTACCCCCTCCCCCCCTCCTTAACACCCCCTCCCCACACCCCCTCCCAACACCCCCTCACCCCTCTTCCTCCACCCCCATCGTCACCCCTCTAGCTTCTCCGTCAGGTAGGACTCTCCCATTCAATCACAGTCTCTCCAATTGGCAGGTGCGACGCTCGCTTTCTCCAGCCCTGACCTGTCCTCCGAGGCAGCTGACAGGCAGCGCCCCCCGTCAAGAGTAAGGAGGCTGTCAGGCAGTCAAAGCCGGATGTGTGTGTGTACCTTTGCCTCTCGCGCTGATTAAATAAAAACTGGTCCTATTCATGGTTTTATTTATCTGCCTTATTTGTCGGGGATTTTCTCTCTCTCTTTTTTTCAGATTGTCAATAGGTGTCCTTGCTCTGTTTTCCATAGGTGTCACCCTCCGATGTCTCCAACAGGTCTTGTGTTGTAAATAGGTTAGGTTGTCAGAAAATCTTTGGAGCCTGGTAATGGGCTCGAACCTGCGTCGTAGGTCAACCAGGTTGAACCTGATCAACCAGGCTGTGACTCATAGGTCAGGCTGCGAGCAGCCGCGTCTAACAGCCTGGTTGATCAGTCCAGCAACCAGGAGGCCTGGTCGACGACCGGGCCGCGGGGACACTAAGCCCCGGAAGCACCTCAAGGTAGCCTCAAGGTAGGTAGGTCACCACAGACGCACGCATTACCCGGCTGACCCACGAAACTTGAGGAGCAGCTCACGACGCCTGACGAATGATTCGAAGACGTGAAATGCGTTAATTCACTCTTATGTGATTTAGATTTCGTCCAGCTTAGGACGAAACTTAGGATAGCTTAGATGTTATTCGTTCGTCAGTTAGTCCGGTTATCAGGTGCCATTCGTCCGGGTTAGGCATTGTTCGTTCGTGTGTTTATCCACAATTACGTCCACAGTAGAACTTCGGTTTCAACCCTTTTTACCCTGTCGTAGCTCAGTCGATTAAGGCAGTGTCTGGGATGCTCCCGGACGCAGGTTCGAATCCTCGTTACGGCCCTTGTGGATTTGTTCATTTACATCGTCGGTGTTTCTTCCAGTTACGCGCAAGAACCAGCGGCAACTTTATAATCTTCCCGTGACATGTGTTGATCCCGGTGTTGATGACCGGCAGACAATACACTTAAAAAAAAAAAAAACGTATAAAACGTCTTCGTTTGGTTTAGGAAGCAAGGGGAAAAAAAAACAGCAATACTGGTTTAATTTCAAAACGAGTATCGATTATTTTCAGACATGGTTTATGTTGATATAATTTGCACAAAATGTCATTATATGTAAACAATAACAGCTTCGATTATCACAAACCGGGTCCGTCTAATTACCACAAGCTACCACAAACTACACAAACTTCAGAAAGCTTCCTGGCAATACGTTAGTAATGAATAAATATGATATATTAAGTTAGGCTGACCTAACCTAACCTATCCTAACCTATCCTAACCTAACCTAACCTAACCTAACTTAACCAAACCTAACCTAACCTAACCGAAGCTTGGATCGTCGACTTGATTTGGCGTCACCAGCTTTTTATTTTCGTCTAATTTCTTTATAAAAAGATACTTTTTCAGATTAAAATTATGTTTTTTCGTGTTGTACATTCAGCACCAACATTATAATGAGTAAATATATCATATTTATTCATTACTAACGTATTGCCAGGAAGCTTTCTGAAGTTTGTGTAGTTTGTGGTAGCTTGTGGTAATTAGACGGACCGAATGGAGGATATTGAAGCATAAAGGGTAGGGTATTAACCCGTATTAAGAGAGAGAGGTTGGAATGTTTGACACAGAGCTCCCAGCGTTGAGGCGTGTCGCCACAGCCTAGCGTTGAGGCTGTTCATCTGTGTCTCACACATTGAACTCCGGGAGACTCCTTCTGTAGAGGTGATAGCCTCGTGGTAAACTCCTGTAGTTCACATACGGTAGCGGGAAACTCTACTTGGAAGGACTCGGTTTACACGAGATTAAATTAAGATTAGGGTGAAGCTATTGCTTGCAGTAGTCGGTGAAAATGATCAGGAATGAATAAAATATGTATGTATGTATGTATATGTAGTATGTACTGTAGTATGTTGCGTGTTGCACGCTCACACACTAGCTCACTCTGCATTTGAAGGTAAATTGTTTGATTACTATAAAACGCAAGAAATTAGTAGTGTAGCACATCAAATTGTTTGGATGTGTGGGATAATGGTGAGACAGGCAATACTTTGTAATATGTACAATGGTCTCAGTGACCAACCAGATCGCAGCGAGTGACACTTGCATTCGTAGCTTCCCTGTGTAAGGAATCATCTACAACGCAACGGATATTTACCGTTGTTCTGTAAATACCGATGTTATTTACCGTTGTTCTGTAAATACCGATGTTATTTACCGTTGTCCTGTAAATACCGTTGTTATTTATCGTTGTTCTGTAAATACCGATGTTATTTACCGTTGTTCTGTAAATACCGATGTTATTTACCGTTGTCCTGTAAATACCGATGTTATTTATCGTTGTTCTGTAAATACCGTTGTTATTTACCGTTGTTATTTACCGTTCTGTAAATACCGTTGTTCTGTAAGTACCGTTGTTCGGTATATTAGCGTCTCTTTCCCTTCCATTACTTCAACACACGTTAGTTAATTTAAGATTTACACTATCTTTGACACTATTTTCCTTATAAGATCATAATTAATCTGACCCTTTTTGCCTTCAGAAAAAAAACAGCAGGATCGGGTGTTCCAAAACTTTTATGGCGACCGTTTTTTTGCAACTATTTTAATCAACGCTTCAAAACTTTTTTATGGAAATGTTCTATATAACTTCCCGAGGGGAAGGTTCCACTGGTTCCACTGGTTCCACTGGTTCCACTGGAGGGTTCCACTGGTTTCTGGCTAAAATTACAAAAAGAAACATGCATAAATGTCTTTCGTTAGTGCTTTTTTTTAAACACGGTTTTTATTGAATAGTAATTTATGGCATGATTTTGAATTCTTGGCATTATGTAGCGCACACACACACACACACACACACACACACACACACACACACACACACACACACACACACACACACACACACACAAGGGAATCGACAGGGTTGATAAAGATAGGCTATTTAGCACAAGGGGACACACGCACTATGGGACACAGGTGGAAACTGAGTGCCCAAATGAGCCACAGAAATATTAGAAAGAACTTTTTTAGTGTCAGAGTGGTTGACAAATGGAATGCATTAGGAAGTGATGTGGTGGAGGCTGACTCCATACACAGTTTCAAGTGTAGATATGATAGAGCCCAGTAGGCTCAGGAACCTGTACACCTGTTGATTGACGGTTGAGAGGCGGGACCAAAGAGCCAGAACTCAACCCCCACACACACATTCTTAAAGGGAAGATTCTGAAAGGGGAATTAGTAAGAATGAGAAAATATACCTGTTCACTCTTCAATACAAGTTAAGTGTGAACAAGGGGATGCAGAGTTGAAGATTAGATGAGTCGAAATGTATTGCGCAATAA